GTAGGACCGTGGACGTGGTACATTCCCAGACGTTTCGCCGGCATCGTAGTCGACATCGTCAGTGAGTCTCACCATTCGTAGCACCATATTACAATTCGTCAATGAGACAAGTCTTGTCCACGAATGGCTACGAATGGCGAGACTCACTGACGATGCCGGCGAAACATCTGGGAATGCACTACGCCCATCGTCCGACTCTGGAAAATTCAACTACCAGTCCTTCATCACCTTAAACGAACACACATACTTGATTAATTTACCTTAAACTTTTCTCTATGGTTGTTTAAATTTCTGACATTATGCAAGAAGTCTTAACTTCTAGTCTAATGACTGAAGTGTTCATCTTTTCATTGCAGGCCTTCTATGAGGCTGCTTTTTTGTTCACTTGGTTACCATCAAGTTTGCTTAATGTTATAGGCCCTTTTTAATCACTTTTACTGTACATAAAATGCATTTATCCGCTTTTAAGTATATTCTTATAAGTTATATTATGTCAAATATAGCTTAAAATAACTCCTTTATTCTGCTTATTCTCGAGGTTCATTAACCATATTAATTCATCTAAATTTCCTTAGTTTCGACAAGGCTCATATGGGAATAATGTTTTGGTATCAACAAAGTCTGCTCTTGTACTAGGCTCTTTTTGGCATTATTCTAAAGGTTATCTATCCTCGTTAGTATGTATACAATCATTTTCTTTATGGCGCTATTACATTCCTATTTTACCGTCACACAACTTGCCTCTTGTAAGTAGCTTCATATTCTTCAACTTTAAAATCATTTCTTTCGCAAAGCTTATCGGTCTATCTAATTTAGTGAGGCCAGATTCATGGATAACATAACTTGTTTTTTCCGGATATTATGTTTACGCTAATTAATTATTAGGTCCGCCTATTATCTAATCATACACTAGCCTATACGCCGTCGTGAATTTATGTTAGCTAATTCTGTTTGTTCTCATCATTTATGCTTTCTTCAACCAATCTCTGTTCACTGTTGCATGGCCATTTTTTTCATTAGCAAGGCGCACCTGCACTTTAAATTACGGTCAGGCAAGTGGCGGTTACCGAAGTCATGGTCAACATTATCAAGCACAACCGGCGCAATCACAGCAACATCAACAAGCTATATCTTCAGCCGGTCATCCAGGACATTTAGGTCAGTCCACGGCATCCGGCGGAGTCAGCGGCCGTCGTAGCACCGCAGTAGTTGGTCTTACTGGCGCTTCTCCTTCATCTGGTCTCCGGCCTGGAGCCGGCGTTGGTTTAGGCCTCGATGGGCCACCTAACTCACGAGCATCGATTGTGGGACCAGCCACTTCTGGTGTTGCTACTGATATCAGGGGACCAGGTGGGACTGCCAGGCTGGCTGGGCAAGAAGGAGGACGTAGGTAAGTCTAATTGAAGGTAGATGGGTAACATGGTGGAAGAATCAGTCAAATCGATATAGGAAATTAGATAATGCTTTGTCTATCTTTAGCCTTTTCTAAAAGTTTCCAGGGATTTAGAAATTCTAGGATGCCGTTATTGGCTAGTTGTATTTTTTTGCTTGGTTGCCTAGACTTTTGTGTATATTTAGTCTTCATAGTAGGGCCTTTATAGATTTCTGATTGTCTAAGCTTATCATTCACACTGCTTGTTAAAATTTTCCTGATACAATAATTTTTATCTAATTTAACGTTACGTGGCTGTAGCTTTGGCCTCCATTAGTTATTTCTAACCGTTATATCAAAATTTCTGTGGTGGGAACTACTGTGGGAAACTACTTTAACTAGTAGACTTCATGGCTTTAAGACTAACTTATTGCGTGTTATATATATTAGAAGCGCTTGAACTTAATCCTGGGCTTTTTTGACACACTAATCAATGAGATACTTGATATTCTTATTTTGCTGT